CCTTGGTCCGTGTTTCAAGACGGGTCGTATCGCTCCATTTCGCCAGAGTCCCGAACAGCAAAAGTTATCCACATCATCAATCGCATTAATAAACCACAGACATAGCAAGCTATCAAAGCAGTCACCAACACGAGACAACATAGACCTTAAGGCATGTTGTAGGCACCTCAGTCTCAACCACGGCTACTAGACAGCGAGATATAACTTTCACCGAAGTGACGCACCTCCTCACTGACCATCTCCGCAGCATACAAACTGACCCTGACGTCACACCCATGCACAGGGCACCCGTAATTACTCCACGAATGAAATATGCATAGGATACAACACTGGAACGGTTCCCTTTTCAACAGTTTTTTCAGGTACTCTTTTCAAAGTTCTTTCATCTTCCCTCACGTCACGGTACTTGTTCGCTATCGGTCTAATATTAGCTTTAGATGGAATTTACCACCACAGGGGATGTATTCCCAAACAACTCGACTCAAGAAGCGTATCGTACACACCGCAGATGGAGCAGAGACGCTCCATGCTGCCCTTTTCCATTCAGGCTGTCCCATCGCGATGCTGCACAGCCTCAATAGACTACAATTCGCCATACAGTATGGAGATTTTAAGCTTGAGCTCTTCCGCTTCACTCGCCGTTACTGGGGGAATCCTTGTTAGTTCTTTCCTCCGCTTAATGATATGGCAGTCTCAGGGTAGTCTTGTTGATATCAGGTCCAAATTGGATTGAATTCCAATTTGCCTCATACGCCAAGAAATGCACAGCATACCAACTCCCTGTGTGCCTTGTACTTTGACACAGACTCGCAGCACAAAAAGCAATATGTCGTACCGAAGTACAAGCAAAACTACCGCGATTTGCTTGAGTGCTGAGTGCTGTGTGCCGCACACTCGAAAGGAGCGCAGGCATACCTACCTTTTAAATAATACTCACTAGGACGCGCATAGGTACCGTCGTTTTAATTACAAGACCTTCACGACCTTCACAGTCTGTGAAGTTGTGCTGATACAAACATACTCCCAGGACTAACCCGGAAGTGACAAAGTGCAATATGATTTTAGTATCACTGAATTCTGCAATTCTTCATCGGTGTGTTCGCAGCGTCGTTCTTCATCGGTGTGCGAGCCTAGTTGAAATGCAGATATTATTGCATGCAGTCGTATTTTTATTAAAAAAGGATTCACTTGGTAGTCTTGACAAGCTGCACATGCTCATAAAGCCTCATAAGAGTACACGTGGGGTGTGGTAATGTGGAATCGATCCTTCATCCTTCCGCACCTTGTTACGAATGGCGAGGTTACTAAAATGGCGAAGGAGCATGCCACAAACTTGCATGCAATGAAAGCACACATTCACACAGTCCCAAGGTGTCGACGGGCGGTGTACAAAGGGACGATCAATGCAGCTGATGACTTGCGTTTACTAGGAATTTCCCTCAAGATTATAATTGCAATAATAATCTATCCCTATACGTATTCAAAAGGATTACCCAGACCTATCGATCAAGATACTCGTGAGCGTATCAGTGTAGCGCGCGTGCGGCCAGACATCTAAGGGCATCACAGACCTGTATTGCCTCAACTTCCTTCAGTTAGTCACTGAAGTCCCTCTAAGAAGTCCATACCTACCAATTGGTAAGTAAGCAGAACTATTTAGCACTCGTCGTTAACGGATTAACCAGAATTAACCAGACAAATCACTCCACCAACTAAGCCACCCATAGAAAAAAGCTCTCAATCTGTCAATCCTACTTTACTATGTCTGGACCTGGTAAGTGTTGAGTCAATTAAGCCGCTCCACTCCTGGTGGTGCCCCCTTTCCGTCAATTCCTTTAAGTTTCAGCCATACTCCCCGACCCGAAACGAACTTTCATACGTGCTGACAAGGTCATTCAAATAACGACTAACGACTGCCAATCCCGAGTTATGGTTAAGACTACGATGGTATCTAATCATCTTCGATCCCTAACTTCGTTCTTGATTAATGAAACATAAATGCTTTCGCCTAAGCCTAAGCTCATCTTCAACGATCAACGATCCAAGAATTAAATATGAATACACCCCAACTGTCCTATTGTCCCTATTAATCATTAAGACCACCAAGGAACAAAATAGACCACATGCTAATGTATTCAATGAGCAAACGCCTGCTTTCTGCTTTAAACACGATGCAAAGTCCTCAAGTCGACACAACCACCGGCAGAAGCGCCCCGCCCCTCACTAAACTGGGCCCAAACGACATCCACTAGTAGATAAACTCGACCCACGAAATCCAGCGTTTTTTAACTGCAACTTTAATATACGACCGCGGCTGCTGGCACCAGGCACCAGTACTTGCCCTCCCCCTCCAATTGATCTTAAATTGTTCTCATTCCAATTGCCAGACTGTTATTTATTTTGTTGTCACTACCTTGGCAGTCTCAGATTTTACGCGCTGCTGCCTTCCCTTGGATGTGGTTTCTAAGGCTCCTCTCCGGAATCAACCTATCCCGTACCGTTAACCGTACCAGCCCATATCCTACCATCCAAGCTGATAGGGCAGAAACTCAATTGACTTAGAGGTGACTGAGATCCGCACAGTTATATGATTCAACACAATACCGACCGAGCTGAGATTCAATCTATAAATGCTACCGTCCGACAAGCATTGGGATTTACGCATGTATTAGCTCTAGAATTACTACGGTATCCAAGTAGTAAGGTACTGCCAAGTAGACTATAACTGATATAATGAGCATTCGCAGTTCACAGTACAAATTGTTATACTTAGACATGCATGGCTTAATCTTGAGACAAGCGTATGACTACTGGCAGGATCAACAGGTTAATATCGAATTCATTCCTCATGCTTCCTATAGCAGTAGACTCTCAGAGTACCACCACTAATACCAGCGTCATGCGCCGTGGCCCAAACTGCGCTGTGTATTTACCCCACGAATAGATTCCACCGACAGAGCCAACAGTAGTCATCTAGGGCCTAGCCTAGAGTAACTCCGAGCCAATTCCGAGCGAGAACGCACGCGAAGCATCCTCCGGCTACAATTTCCACCGAACAGAGCGCCATCTTGGAGGCCCAGTACGGATGACATTCCGTCGGAAATTAGAGCGAATTCCGAGCGATTCAGCCTCGAGTAACTCAATCCTCCCGGCTACAAAAGATAGCTACCAGCAACAAGCCAACTATGACCTTCCGTCGGCCGTAGATCCATTATGAGCACTGAGACTGCCACAGCGTCTTGAAGTAGTAGCTCCGAACGCGGGTACGCGATTCAGGTCCTAGGGAATACAGGCATGCAAGCACACAAGCTCCCAAAACTCTTTAAACCCGGGGTCACTATACTCCAAGTTTACTCGGTTCATCCAAGCCTCCGTCCAAATTTTCGCAAGCAATTCAAACTTCCGCAGCAGGAATTCCCAAGCCAAGAGGTAATGGAAGGCAGTCTCAGGTTTTCTAGTTCACGAAAAGTTTACGCCGCAGCCGAGGAGCCGCGCCGCTTTGATTTATTTCCAATGAGGTGACTGAGAGCTACAGCCTTCAACTGCAGCCTAACCGAGACTGACAAATCGTTTTACTGAAAATTGTTTTGCCCTAGCAATGACTCACCCGAGAAATTACGCCAGCAAGCTAAGCGCAACTCCCAACCTTCAATGCCAACCTTCCTTGTGCTGATGAATATAGATACCGCGCAGAAACACCAGAGCAGCACGAATCATCATGAATCGCTCCCTTTTCTACCTGGATAAGTACATCACAATCGTCCCTTTTTTCTACCTGGATTACCGAAAAACCCGTCCAGCGCCAGCGCCGGCCACAAGCACCTACTAGAACTAAGAAATTATAGACACAAATAGACGCAAAAATTTTTTTTTTTACGCCTCGCTTTTCAGATCGTTTGACCAACTACTTGAATCTTCACTTGGTCTCCATAAAGGTAAGGCAAAAGCTACACGTTCCATGGTAGAAACACTACAAAACACGCTGCTACAGGCAGAAATTCACCAAGAATCTGACCGCAGATTAGACTTGGCTTCAGTATGGGGGCACTTGGTGAAATTCGATACTCCTCGACGAGGATTTTTTTTCACTCCGATTGACAGGGGAAGTCAACTGACTAGTTCCTGAGTCTGAACCTTATCGTTCATCAGATATCGAAGGTTTGCGAGCGGTTGGCCCTAAAATGGCCCAAAAACGGAAATGCTCGTATCCAGAAAGCTTTGAGCGCGCACGACTGCACAGGCTGCATAACTTTAAGGCGCATCCTTCACGGACTCACTTTCTGGAGTCACTTCTGGATGGTCGACTAGTTACGTCGCCACTTTGTTGGCCGATGCCGATGTCTAGTTCGCAACCAAGTTGCTCGTGGATGCGAGATCGTCATGCAGCAGTCTCAGATTTCACGGGGAATCCAAATGCTATCAGAAGTTGGAAAAATTATTAACTTTTGGAGGAGTTCAAATACCGTTTCGGACCTTTAGAACCTATATATGTCATTTGGCCTGAAGGAGTCCGATTTGAGCGATCGGTGTCAAGACCAAAAGATGCGCCGTGAAAGTACTTCCTAGAGCAAGACGACCTGCACGAGAGCGACCCTAACTTCATAAGACTTGAAAAACTTCAGTAAATACATGACGTCAAAATAGCGTCAAAATTGCCCGTAGCCCGAAGACCAAAAAGATGTCGAGACCAAAAAGAGAGTACTTTCTAGGATGCAGAGCGGGCCGAGAGCCGGGGTATACAATATCTCGTTTTTCATCGGGGACCACCTTCATGTTGCTGGTAATGAGCTGCGTCGATATATGTAACGACCTTGCGAAGATTCGGGGCGGAACACGCTTTTATTCGTCGATTAGTGATTTTTTGATGTCCGGGACCGATAAATCGCGTCGCATTTGGCCTGTAGGCGGCAATTTCGTATTGTGACGACGCACACATGCTTGTACTAGTGCCATACGCGATAATCAAGCGCGACCCGGCGTCAATCCGATCTCTACAAGTGCAGTTCAACCAATCGAGCATGCTGAGCTGCATACGGGATTGACTCAACGAAACGGGTCTGTGAGTCTTCCGAATCGGCGCCCATGCAGCCGAGCTAGGATATGCTTGTAATGATGTTAACAGGTGCTCCGAAGTGGCGTCACGTGGGACGACCTGGTAGTGAAGATATGGAGGTTTGTCGAGCTCGCCGAGGCCTGTGCCGCCATCCTGAGACAGGCTGGTACGACATTTGCGGGTATTCCGAGTCGGCGCGCGCGCTATGAAGCTAGGATATGTTTTGTATTGATGTTATACGTGTTGTCTCCAAGTGGCGTCGCGCGGGAAGGCCTAGAAGCGGAGATATTGGCATGCGTCGATCCCGCGGCGACTAGCCATGCTATCTGCAGTCCATATCGAGCACTTTGATCCGGGCATAGATTGATTCCCGATCCGTGTTTTGCTGTTTTCTCACTAAATCCGACACTATGGACTATGTAACTCACTTTTATAACCATTCTCGACGAATCGACGAATTTGGCTCCAAACTGCTACTGAGCTGCCGTAGCAGGCACTATTGCAGCCCTGTGCATAGATTTGGGTACAAGAATGCATTTTTCAAAGTGCGCGCTGCTATCGAGATCCATTTACGATAGCAAAACTGGCCAAATCGGTCATTTTGACCACTACTGCATTGCTACTGCTTCAGTAACAAGCCAGTAGTGACATTTTAGACGAGATTTCATTTTCACGTTCAAGTACAAGCCAGTAGTACGATTTGGTGAATTTGGCTCTATTCCAATTCGACGCCTAGTAGCAAGGCAGTAGTACGATCTTGGTGAATTCCAATCCAATTCATAGCTAACGTCCGGGTACAAGCCAGTAATACGATTTTGGTGAATTCCAAATCAATTCCAATTCGACGCCAAGTAGCAAGGCAGTAGGCAAAATTTTCACCAAACATTGATTTTTTCAAAAAAATATTCCCAAACTGAGCCGCGCCCAGTAGCAAGGCAGTACATAGCTAACGTCCGGGTACAAGCCAGTAATACGATCTTGGTGAATTCCAAACCAATTCATAGCTAACGTCCGGGTACAAGCCAGTAATACGATCTTGGTGAATTCCAAACCAATTCCAATTCGACGCCAAGTAGCAAGGCAGTAGGCAAAATTTTCACCAAACATTGATTTTTGGAGAAAAATTATTCCAAACCGAGCCGCGCCCAGTAGCAAGGCAGTAGTGCAAATGGGCCGGCGGGAGCGTAATAAAACAAAAAGTTTTATTCCCGCGGTCGCCGCCCGGTAGCAAGGCAGTAGGCAAAATTTTCACCAAACATTGATTTTTCCAAAAAAATATTGCCAAACCGAGCCGCGCCCAGTAGCAAGGCAGTAGTGGAATTGGGCCGGCGGGAGCGTAATAAAACAAAAAGTTTTATTCGGCGCCACGATCCAAGGCCAAACATTAAACTTTAAAAAAAAAATCAATTCTCGTCGTTTCCAGTAGCAAGCCAGTAGAGGATGCACGCAAACGGGCTCATTCCGCGTTTTCGCTTATCAATTCGCCGATTGACCCAATAAGTTTTTTGACGCTTTGAGTCGTTACTAGGCACCTATAGGCACCATCTAGGACCAGTGACAAAAAATAAAAGTCAAAACCAGAAATTATGGCCCTAAACAAGTTCTGGCTGTAGTGGGCCCAAATTCCGACTGCTGGCGTATTTCGCCGATGACGCCAATAGTTTTTTCGGCACTTGGAGTCGTTAGTAGCGACCACTAGCTACCAACTAGAATGCCTGCAGGCATCAGCAGAGCCAAAACCTGAAATTATTGCTCTACCCCAGTTTTGGCCCTACTGCAGGCATGGACTCGCCGTGTATTTCACCAGCATCTCTGATGAATGCCTGGGCACTTGGAGTCGTTAGTAGGGACTACTACCTACCAACTAGAATGCCTGCAGGCATCAGCAGAGCCAAAACCTGAAATTATTGCTCTACCCCAGTTTTGGCCCCACTGCAGGATCTATGGACTCGCCGTGTATTTCACCAGCATCTCTGATGAATGCCTGGGCACTTGGAGTCGTTAGTAGGGACTACTACCTACCAACTAGAATGCCTGCAGGCATCAGCAGAGCCAAAACCTGAAATTATTGCTCTACTCCAATTTTGGCCCTACTGCAGGCATGGACTCGCCCTGTATTTCACCAAGAGCTCTGATAGATGTCCCGACACTTGGAGTCGCTAGTAGGGACTACTACCTACCAACTAGAATGCCTGCAGGCATCAGCAGAGCCAAAACCTGAAATTATTGCTCTACTCCAATTTTGGCCCTACTGCAGACCCTACTGCTAAGTACTTGCAGAGAATCCTGGTACCACCCTGATGCTTTCATCAGCACGACTACACTTGTTGAAATACAACAAGTAGTAGTAGCACTGATGAAAGCTCCTTGGTCCGTGTATAGAGTCGCCTGGCCAAGTATTGAACACTTGGCCGATTTGAGCTTGTACTATGACGACTTAGGCTACC